ATTTGCTGTAATTTCTGTCTTTGTTCTATGTTATCTACTATGATATTGATTTTAGAAACCAGAGTTAATATTTTAAGAAAACATGAGGGAATCAAGCCTCCGGTGACCAAGTGGGCCCTTCCCAATTCAGAGGTTCATTTTCCTGAGGTAAGGTTTCATTTATAAAGGATGGCGAGAGGTAGCTGTAGAGCACTGAGGAGGAGTCCCAGTGGAGACAAGCACCCCTGCTGCTCATTTAATTTAAACAGGAATTAGAGGTTATTCCACTCAGTCTGAATTGAGGGTCTTGTTATGTCTTGCCTCCCCAGTGTTGACCAAAGTGGGCTTCATTCCCAGACCCAAACTTTATTTGCATTTGGATATTAAAGAAGAAAACACAGTATCTCTCTTATGTTAGTAGCTTAAAGGGTTAGAATTTATGTCAGGTGAATTTAACTTTGACTTTATGGACTATTTACTGGAAGCATATAAACTTGAACACAATGAAGTCCAACAACTCTTGGCGAAAAAGTTGAAATTATATATATTTGAGTGCTTTCATTTTAAGGTAATACTACTAGTGATTTCTTGAGGAGTCATCTTAAGTCTTTTTCCAGACTATCATTGCAAAAGAAATATGTTCTAATAAATTATAAATAATTGATTTGAAAAAAGTTATTATAATTGACTTTGTCAATATTTTCCTTAAAAGGGGAAAATAATCTATTATTTATCACTTATTCCTCCTTGGTTAAGCCCTGACCAAAATCAGGGAAGTCTGTCACTGTTGTCTCAGCAGTTTTATCTGATCAGTTGGAAGTACAACACTGTGAGATGCTGGACCACCTCAGGGTGATTTGGGGCTTAAGTGGCGGGGGGGAGGTTCATGGTTGCCCTCTGTTAACTCCTGTCTGACTCACCTCGCCAGCATCAGATGACAATGACATGTTCACCAGATTTTCCAAGTGATGAAAATGTCAGCAAACCCAAAGTTATGGTTCCCCCAACAACTGTAACTTGGCTCTTTGGACAGAATTATTAAGGAAGAAAAGTTGAAACTGATGAATAGTCTAAACCTGCAGATACACTGAGTTTGTGTCTACCCAGACAGAACAGATTCAATCCTGAAGTAAGGACACCTGTCAGTCAAACAAAATGATGTCTCACCTAAGGTAACAAGGAGTATAAACTACTTTGTCTAAACTAAATTATCTCATAGTGAGCTTGACACTCTTTTTGGTATATACAGACATGTTTTTGTACAGATAAAAACTACAAGAATGATTTAAATTTCCTAAACTAATGACACATATAATGGAATTGGCATGGTTTCCAGATATTATAAACAGTTAACCAAAATGGACCACTTGCTCAAAGAGACTGACTTGAAGTTATATTTTTATATTTACCTTCACAAATATATTCACGAAGGGATGCTCAGTAATTCTTATTTTTTTATATATATATGAAGAGATACGCCATTTTAAAAGCTGGATCTAGAGGCAACTATGGTGATATCAGGTAAGGAGGGGAAGACATTAGTCAACATTCCCCTTATTTAGGTCGGTGCAGATTAAGTAGGACATAGTGAATGATGGAATTTGGGGAATTCAATAGGAAGCAACATAATACTGGCACTGGCATTAAATTAGCCTTGCCTCTTCCTCCATACACTTAAATAAGGAGCCAGTCAAACAAGCCAAGAGCTTGTCAAATATCAGCCAAGTCCAGATAGGGCTGGAGGAAGTTGCAGCACTGTGGTGTTGAGTCTCAGCCTTCCCCTCTGTCTTTGGGGGCCCATGAGCTCACGAGGATGCGTGAGGCCTGGCTGCCAGCAGTCCAGAGGGGTCTTGCCTACATTAGACCCTACAAGATTGTTTCTTAACAGAAAAACTCCACAACACACAGCCCTCCGCAGTGGACTAATCCAAGGTTGTTTCGGTCAGAGGACCCACACCTTGCCTTGGACTGAGGGCCCTACCTTTCCTAGACTTAGACAGGGTAGAAAGCTAGAAAAAAACATTCTCACATGAAACCCAGGTGTTTGTATGGAATGTTAAAGAGAAACACATGTTTATTTTCTCAATCATAAGCTGGTTTCAGTAGTCATAGCAGTTGTTTAAATTAAAATCTTTGCTAGTCAAGCAGGAAAAAAAAAAATGCCTTGATTTTTGCTTCCTGAAGCCACACAGTTTTATGATGTATACTCTTCCTTTCTAGAAGTACCTGTTGTTGGTATGTTTAAGTCAATTTATACTTACAGGAATCACTATAGATTTAATATAAAACTTTGGCCTTGGTCCTAATTCTTCAAACTTTTATGCCTACTACAAATGACCTAAATTAACTTGCTGGGACTCGTGTTGTTTTTCTGCTGAATTATCTATGGCTAAAAATCAGATCCATTCATTAATAGTTAGGGACTACTTATTTAAGAAATTGCTATATTTAAGGCACAGAGCATTGACAGGTCATAGAAAGCTACTGCTCCATATGATTTCCCTGGGTAGAGCTGATTCTCTATTGTCCATGTGATGGTACCCATTAGGGTGGATATAATGCTTTGTGGGTATATGCACTTGATTTGTTATATACATATGTATGATTACACATGTGGTATGTGTACGTGTATGGTGTGTCTGTGGTGAGTGTGTGCATTATTGTGTATGTGTGACGCACACGTGTATAGTGTATATGTGTTATGTGCATGTGTGTGCTATGGTGCATGCACATACGTGTATAAGTAGTCTTTGTACATGGGTGGTGTTACGGTATGCACACACATGGATGAGTATATATATGTGTTTGTATGTGAGTATGCTTCCACTAGACTGTAAGTTTCTTGAGGACAAGGGCTATGCTTCTTCATTTATTCTCCTTATCACAGAACCAATACATGTAGTAAGGAAGTCATTACTGAATAAATTAATGCCATATTAAATAAGCACTGAAACAAAAATAATGGACAAGTGACTGATAACCATCATAATTTAGGTTCAACAAAAATGATACGCTACTGATCAACCATTCTTAACTTAGAAAAATGACACTCTCACAGATTCATTCTATTGCTTCATAAAATTTATGTGCTGCCTCCATCTAAGAACCTTTTAACATCTCTGAATGTTTCTACACTTTAAGAAGGACAGAGGAGTTTCCCCCTTTCCCAGAGAGGAAGAGCAAAGTTAACACTCCTGAAGCACAGAACAATGAATAGCTAACCCTGTCCTGAGTCTTTCTCTGAACAAGTGAGAGAGGGATTGAGGATACAGGAGTTTTGAAGGCAAAGTTCTGCCTCCTGGTGGTCCTGACAACATAGTGGGGTTTCCAAGCCTTAGCTAGACCAGGAGCGTATAATATAGCAGTGACACGCACTGGAGGTTTTACGGAAATACTCAGAAGGGCAGTGATTCAGACCCAGGCCCTCTGGGAAACCGCTAAGTCAAGACCTGAAAGATGACCTAGACAGGGGAAGGGAAATGGTGGCAATGGGGAAAGTTGGTGGGCGTGTGAGACATACTGAAAGCACTGCCGATGTGGCTGGGATGCACAGCCTCCATGGGTTCAATATAATCAGATTTCAAAAAAAAAAAAAAAAGCAAATATTGTTTATGAAAACTTGTAAGACATGTTTTAAAAGATTTATTTATTTATGCATACAAGAACTGGAATACAGTGGAATACAGACCAGAGGTGCAGAGGGTGAGAGGATTCACCAGAGACAAAGTAGGGGCAGAACCGGCAGATTGACAGAAGCACACTGCTGAGGGGAGCAGCAGGTGAGTCTGGAGAGGTCTGCTGGGCCATGTGAGTCAGCTCCCGGCTGGGTATCAAACTTTTGCTGCAGTGGCTGTGAATAGCTTCATAGTACTACAACTTAACCTCTTGTGCCACCAAGGAGGCCCACTTTTTAGATATTTTTAATAACTTTTCTATCAAATTTGTTATTTTGCTTGTTTCCCCACATGATCCCTCCTCCCCCCTCACACGCATACACACTGCCTAGCTAGCTCATCTCTGAATCCTGCTGTTAGCTCTGACCCTGCCTTCTTCTCATATTCCCCTGGGACTCTGCATCCAGCCACATCGGCAGTGCTTTCAGTATGTCTCACACGCCCACCAACTTTCCCCATTGCCACCATTTCCCTTCCCCTGCCTGGGTCACCTTTCAGGTCTTGACTTAGCAGTTTCCCAGAGGGCCTGGGTCTGAATCACTGCCCTTCTGAGTATTTCTGTAAAATCCTCAGTGCGTGTCACTGCTATATTATACACTCCTGGTCTAGCTAAGGCTTGGAAACACCATTATGTTGTCAGGACCACCAGGAGGCAGAAATTTGTCTTCCAAACTCCTGTATCCTCAATCCCTGCTCACATGTTCAGTCTGAAGCCAAGATGGTTTAGAATCATTTAAGATGGAATATCTTCTCATTTTATAGTTAGTTCAACTGAAGCCCAGAGAGGCTAAGAGACTTGCCTAATGTCACCACCCTACTACTTTATCACAGAGTGAAATAGAGCTTGAGTCTCCCAACACACCCATGCTTCCTTTATCTTGATATGGATAGTTGTCCCTAGATTTCTGGGAATATTTTCAAGTCCCAGGTCTGTAAACTAAACATTTTTTTTGTAGACTGAAACAATGACTTAAAACAATCATTTCCCAGAGACAGCAAGCAGACACATGCCCTGTAATTTCCACAGTTTTGTGCAGATTGCCTATTTCCAAATGCCTCTTTTAAGTTTCATGTGTGGTTTGAGTTGTGACAAAAGCAATAGGTTAAGGCTCAAACCTCTACAAACTTGACTTCAAAAGGCTTATTTTAAACATGCAGTTAAGATGGCAAATATTGAACGTGCTCACTGTTGCAGTTGTATGATTAATGCCACAGATAATAACTAAACATGTTTTATTGCATAACTGATAACATGTTCACACAATGAAGACACTGAGACACTTTGAACTATTCAACATGCCCCAAACTAAATGCCAGCATTTGTTTTTATAGTTTCTGTAATCTCACCTGCTAAGAGCCTTATCTTCATAAAACCACCGAGTTCCTGAATAAATATTGTGCCACAGATTTAAATCTTCTGGGGGATTTGATGCAAGTGGTTGCTGGATTTTACATCTCAGAAGCTCATATCTAAGGCAAAAGACAAGCAGAAACATAAGGATTATCTCAACAAATGTTATTACCAAAATTTAGGTTGTTGTGTGGTATGAGTGTTGGTGTATGCATGTAAGCATAAAGAAAACATCTTAATTTACAACAATGAGGTTTTTTCCACATGATTACATAGTTTTCCAGGCTCATTTCAAGTATTCAATTATTTCCAAGTAATCAGCTATATTCATGTTTTTCCATTATCAGCAAGAATGATAACATTTTCACTTCCTTCTATGTCAGATTTGCCAAAACTCTCTGGCCAGTTTTACACAAAGTAGACATACAAAAATGCTTATAAAGTTAATGATTTCTGAAGATTTTCACTATCGATACTTTATAAACAATGATAATATTATTAACTTTATAGACTTGGCTTGCTACAAATCCATTTCAGAATCACAGATTTTTCCTTTCATCTATATTCTTGACCACATTCTTCACAAATTTCCAGATAATAATGTGACAAAGAATTATTGTGTTAACTTTGGAATTTTGAGGCACATTTGCTCAAATGAATAATTCAGAAAAAGCATCAAGTTTGCCTGACAAACACTAAAAGTACATATGGAAAATCAAGTTAAAGATTTTTTTAGAGAATTGTGAGAACAGTGCTGATTCTCAAGGGATTTTTAATTCTTCATGATATAATGATATTTCTACCACAGAGAGTTTTTTTGATTCCATGTAAGTCAAGATACACAATATGAAATGGTACAAAAGTTATGAGTGAAGATATTCAATAGTAATTAGTTCCGTGTTTATATGTCGGTAAACATTGCTTTCCATCCTTTCTAGAGAGAGACCATGGCAAAATCCAAAGCAAAGTTACTTACTCTTTCCTCAAATTAGTTCCTTTTGGCATTAATGGGTTTTGCCAAGAACTCCCAATACAGGATGCACTTAGCAGGCTCATCAGCAAGGGGCGGACATCCTGGGACAGGGTGGGCTGGGTGGAGTCATGGGCAGGTAAATGCTCTGTGCATTTTCCCAGATTCCTGTTCCTTCCTGAGCAAGACACAATGGTGATCGAATAATTCAGGAAAGGCTTCAAATGCATGATCACATGACTGAACACAGAGGAAGTAGCATTAACACCGGTTATCATCACGTGAGGGTCAGGCAAGCAGCTCTCGTAGCTAAGCACATTTCCATCCAGAATGAGTGGGGGATTCCAAGTGACCTGCAATAAAAGCTAAACTTAGAGTCCACGCGACAACACAGGAATGGAGCAATTCAAGTTCACAAGGCCTAGGATTTTGCTGTGTCTGTTTTTCAGTAAAATTGCTTTCTAAATGCCTGCTTTCTACTTAGCCTTTTGCACCAGACTTAATGAAAAGTTTGGGATCAATTAGCAGTACACCGGGAGCCAAATGAAATGCTGTGTCCTGGGTTTGGCTTTTGTCTTGATACTTTCTAGGACTGACAGAAGAGTACACACCTTTGTGATTCATCTGCACTGTGGGTGTTCTGAAGGACACAAAGCACACTTAGACAAAATTCACACATCCACAGGCTTCAATGGGGGAGCAGCAGGATGCGATCATTTTCTTGTTTATAACTCAATTAAATAAAACCTCAGAACACCTCCCTTTGCATTGTTGCATTGTCAGTGTGTGCTCTAAATTTGTCACAACTCTGGGTTTGTGTGTGTGTGTGTTTGTGTATGGAAGGGTGAATCATTATTTACATTTTCAGTGGCTGCACAATTGAGTTCCTGCAATCCACTTGTGCATAATACAGAAAATAAAGCCATGCCAATGTGCTATTGTCAAAGATAAGAGATATATACAAAGCTTTTTAAAAAGACAAGCAGAGGATGATTCTGTTTAACTTGTGAACTTAAGCATCAGAGAAAAGAAATATTTTGTAATGGAATTTACTATGTTTATTTAATATTCTCTTTCTTTTCTGACCAACTTTTTTTTTTTTTTTAAACATTTATTTATTTGTGCATGCAGAACTGGGGTACAGGCCAGAGATGTGGAGGGTGAGAGGATTCACCAGAGACAGAGTGGGGTACAGAACAGGCAGATCAACAAGGTACACTGCTGAGGGGAGCAGCGGGCGGGTCAGGAGAGGTCTGCCACGCCATGTGGTCTCCTCTGGGGCAGGCGGGGATCGAACTCATGTGGAAGTGGCTTTAGCTTCTCAGTGCTGTGCTTTAACCCGCTGCGCCACTAGGGAGGGCCCTCTTTTCTGACCAACTTTTAGGGTCATAGTGGTAACTCACTCATGCTCTTTTGGGGGGTAAAAGGAAGCTTGGAAAATATGTGTTGATCATGTTTCACTTATTTATGTGCTATCTTGATCTCTTTTACTGTTGCCTTGCAAGGCTGCTTAAATCTGGAACACATACTGCATCTTTCCAATAGATCATGAGCTTCTTGTTAGCAGGATGTAAACTGAAGGTCCACTTAAAGCCATGGACACTGAAGTGGAGTTCATTAAGTACTTGCTCACATTCAACTGGATTCTATCTTTTCCTGAGCAGACTATTACTTTGAAACATTAAGATACATTTCCACAGAGTGATACATTGATGTACACATGTGGTATTTCATGCAAAATCAAAGTTGAAAGGAATAATAGAAAAATTAGGATGGAGAAGGAATGACCAACATGTTGTCCCTCACATCAAAAGAAAAAATGTCCCCCAAAGGAATGGGGGTGAGATTTTGCTGCTATCTCTCACTAAGGGTTGACAGAACAGGCTCTACCTAGAAATCTGGGGTCATCTAGACAGCAATCATCATCCTAATTGATAACTGATGTTTACTCAGATGTTACTACATGACTGGGGATCACAGCTAATATTAGAAACTTCATGGGGAGCTCTACAGTGTTGGGGTGAAGAGGCGTTTCTGATGTGTTTATTTCTTGGGAGCACAGAGGATTTTGTCTGGATGTAGGAAAAGATCAAAGACCCATTAAAATATGACAAAACCTTTCTCTTTTGGAGTCTGACTTCATTTTGAGGAGTCTTAAGTCCTACCAAAAAAAAAAAATCCATTTTTTACTAACTACATAGAATACTCTTTTAAAGTTAGTTTCAAAGTGTTGGAGGGATCTATTTATTTTTCTTATATGTGAATTGTCAGGGCAGTGTTATTTTTAAAGCAAGCTAGTCATCCTTTCTTTTCCAATGAAATAAAGTGGTACTTCCACATTAAGTAAATTTCCCCCATATACTTTATCTTTTAATCTAAACTTTCTAGTCTGTGTTTTATGTCTGTTTTTAGGCAAATACCATACTATTTTAATTCAGTGGCTTAGAATTGATATAAGCACGGAGGGAGGGTCTTGTCTCATTATTCAGTTAATCAGTTATTTTACAATATTCTAGACTATTCCAACCATTCACGGCTTTTGGATCTCTGTTGTCTGTGAATCATAACTCCTACATCTTACATAATTCTAGGCTATTTACTTAATCTCTAAATTCTCAGTTTTCCTATCTGGGAAATGGGGCTATTAATAACATCTTCCTGTTTGGTTTGTAGTAAGAATTACATAAGAGTAATTCCTAGAGCTTAATATGAACTCAATAAATAGTAGTTGTCATGATTACTATTTCATTTCCTACCATAGAGTTTATCATTCTTTGTAATGATTGATTTAAACAAACATCAGAGACTAGTAAATCTTCACAATTCAGTGAGAATAATGGTGACATGTGAACAGATTTTTAGTTGCATTACTGGAATATTCTTGATGACTCAATGATGACTTTTGGTTTTCTATTTTTAAATGAGAATGAATAAAAGGTGTGAATTTTAAAATAATTATCACTACATATTTTAGGCATCTTCTAAGAGAGCTTTAGATTTCTGACTTTGTGAGAGCTGGGAGACCCAGCTCCCTCATCATGTTCATCTAAACTCTCCTAAACTGACCTGTCACCTGTCTTGTTTCATTCTGGGAGAGGTAACAGAGTAAAAAGAAGGATTAAGAAAGGAAAGAAAGAAAAATCCAGACAACCTGTTTTGGATACTCTTTGTCATTTACATATCTGAATCAAACAAAATTGTACATAGAGTAATTGTTCTTCTCAAAATATTTGTTTTTTTTTTTCAAATCTGCCTATTTATTAGATTTTTGTTAGAAAGAATCCAGAAAATTGTTCATCATGTAACTGCCTTTGTGAAAGAACTGTGTTCATTTCACATCATCTGGTTTGGTTCTTCTACCAAAGTTTTGCAAAATTCTCCCAGAATTATAAAGAAGTCATTTCTGGAATGATCAATAACTAGAGAGGAATCAAAACTGGTGATGGTTCATGGGTGTCAGCATGGTGGGAATTTTCTGGGAATCTCATCTGAGAGGAGGAATAAAACCTGTTCCATAATGAATGATGTAAAAAATATACAAATAAATTAAAACAAATAAGTAACTCTAGATTTGTTTGGGTTTTCTTTTGCTTTGTTTTTATGCGACCATTCATAAAACCATTCAAATGAGGAATGATTTTTAAGACGCACAATTTCTATAATAAACATTGTGTCCCATACAATTCCAATGAGTTATTTTTTGTGGTTTTATCAACAGAATTCTGTGTACTTTTGATATTTCCCTATCAAAAAGTATGCTTCTTTGACCAGTCTTATCCTGAAATTCATGGTTGAAGACTTTTAAACATAGCTTTAGATTATAGGATAAATTTAATTTTTTCAACGGTGGACACTAGTGGGCCTCATCCCGTGTGTAGGTGATCGATGGGGTTACTGAGAACACAGGACACAGATCCTAGCAATAAAGTCAACAGATGAACTTTGCTGTTATGCAAATGTCTTTTGTTTTGAGCTCTGGCGAGCAGACCGCTCTAGCAATGCTTTTGGCAGTAGTACAAGAGCAAA